TGACACATGTACGATATGTCAGTGAATGGTATTTATAGAAACTGACTGCAAAGTTCAATGCCAAAATGGCTGACAAGTTAAGTTTTGAATCAAAAGATCATTTGGTCTTTAAAAGAATATATATTCAATAGAAAACAAAACTGTAAGAAATTTGTACGTAAGGTTTATGAGGGAAAACAAAAGGTATACACATTCAAATACACAAGTGAAAAGAATCTGTGCATCATAAAATAAACCTCTTTAAGGTGGTACCAAACACCTTGACTAAAATTGATTTGGCTCGTTTAATTTTCATAAAATTTTGACAAAATATTTACTTTAACCCTTTGACAAAAATATAAAGAATTCAAAAAACTTGAACCACACACTTTATCGGGAAAATTTCATTGGATATATAGCAGTTTGACAAACACTAATTTTGATCATTGAGAAGCTCAATATTTCCTTAACAATATAACGTGATTAAAACGTTCATCTGATTTTTAAAGAGTTATCTCCCTGTAGTGTTATGTACCACCTTAAAGCTAACAAACCTAACGTTGAATAGTTTAATGCTTGAAAATCAACAATTAATTTGACAACTGTTGTTTAATTGTACATGACTTTTTTGTATAATGCAAGGAATACAAAATGCCCCTGAACTGTTATTCCAGCGATAATATGGCATAACAATGAAAATTTGCGAAAGGCTAACGTTTACAAAAAGGAATTTCCCACTTACCTACAATATTAAAAAAAAATGTGTTCAATTGTCCTGATTGCAAACATCTAAAATAATTAACAGATTAAACTTTGAAAAAATTGTCATCTATTGAGAAATGCAAAGTTCTTTTTTCCGCTAGTATAAATGTTAGCATATATAGAACACTTTTGATACAGTTTATCATCCTTAGTTTTTCAGGAGATTGTCGAGATTCACTTATAACGGAGAGATACAATTTTTGTAGATAGTTCTAATCCGCCATCTGGATATTACGCGCAATAATAATGATAGAAACATTAAAAATTATTTACGAAAAGCCCATCATAATAACTTGATTTGTATCACGTTAAAAGACAAACCATTATTTTAGAAATAGAAATACAACTAAACAGAAAAACGGAAGAACAGCACGCTATGGCACCAGTTCGTTCTGCTACACAGCTGCTAAAATATGAAATTACCTAGTACCTTAATGACTTAGAGATGAAAAATAATTGTCACCTGGAATTGTAGTTTATGCCAATGAATTCCTGCAGATAATTAATGTTTTAGTACTCTTTCTGCTTAACCTGCTTTAACTTTGTTAAAATACTGTTTTTTAATTAAGGAATGACTGTAACATTTTTTTCTGTCTATGACAAATAACATAAAAAATGTTGTGCACACTGAATAACCCGCGTAGCGAGTTATTTAAAAGTAAGCAACACATTTTTTTATGTTATTTCGAATAGACAGAAAAAATATTACAGTCATTCCTTATAATTCAATTCTAAATTCCATTTTTAAGGAGTAAATCTTGAAAAAAAAACATTGATGACGTCTCGGTCACATGACAAACTTATGTCTATGAGCTTATACACAAAAAACTTTCAGCCAATCAAAAGACGTGTTACATCCAAAATTAAATTATTGTAAGTTGGCACAATTGCAATGCGTCCTCAATATTGTCTATAAAAACCTATTTTGATCTGAACGAACAAGTTCAACATAATTATCCCCACAAGGAAGATAGAAAGTTTTTTTTTATTATTGCACTGATGTGACAGATATGTGTATGCCTAATTTCAACATCTAGAGCCTACATCTTGAAAACGGTTATTTGTATCATATCAAATTTATATATATTTAGCTTTAATCAATCATTAACAAAGAGCACAGAAAACCGAGACGGTAAATCAAACATTGACAAAATAAACAAAATTACTTTGAATGTGATTCTCAAACTGCTGTGTACTTAAATCATCATGATGTCTTTTATTATTGATGTCTCTCTGGACGTCTAGGAAAAAAAAACCCATATTAGTCATGAATTTATCAACAATTCACAAACAAAAATATTTGAATAGTAATCATACACGTACTTCAGTAGACATAATTGTCTCAACCCCCGTAAATCCTATTATGTATATGTAAGAGAATGATAATCCCTTTCTTCATGATTAAGTACGATCGTTAGCAAGTACTTATCATGAAGAAAGGGATTAATATTCTCTTACAACCTAAGAATATTGTAAAGTGCTCAAGGCTTAAATGATCTCTTGATTGGTTGTATTTAAGAATTAGTTTCATTGTCAGTGCAATGTTTGTAATTAATGCATGACTTCATTTATGGGTTCGTTTTAGTGATGTAAGGACTTTCTTATAATTTTGGAAAATATAAAAGATTGTGTTTTAGACAGTAGATGACACAACAGTACAATGAAATGGTAAGAAATGTTTCCTGATTGTGAGTATGAATGTAAATCATGTTATATTTTAGCGAGGAATTATATTTTTGTTTATTTCCAGTTCAAATCAATGAATTCAAAATTTGAGTTACAAATAAATTTTATTTTCCAGCCAATATTTTAGTCCAGTCCTTTACATCAAATACTACTTCATTATGTCAGGGAAATGTTCAAATACAATGCCTTTAAAATATATTCAAAAGTTAAACTAAATTCCTTTTTTTAAGAATTTTATCAGAATATTGGAAATTATTATTTTCACCAACCGCGGATCCAATAATCTGAGGTTTTGAAAGAGTAGGACTAAAGATTTAGGTTTTATTTAATTTTAAAACTTTTTTTCTATTTTTTTTTTGCATTGCATTGCATTGCTTTGATATTGTTTATTTTTATTTTAGTAATTTGAAGTTATTAATGTTCTCATAATAACGTTAACGATACCAATATTACTGCACCAGTAAAATTCATCTCATTTTGATTTTTTTTTGTTTGTTTTAAAATTCAACTTTTAGTCAGTCTTAATCACAAATTCTTTCAAGCCGATAAATGTGCTTCGGGGCATTTGTAACTCATTTATAGAAACTCTTTGTTTTGAACTGTAAGTAGGCGTAAACAATAGGATAATCCCTTACTAAGAACATGATTTCATTCATTCTTCACAATTAAGAAACACCAAATCCTACAATTTCATTGGTCGAGAGCACTTTGCTATATTCTAACGTTAAATATTCGCAAAACATTCTCTTCATTTAACATACTGAGTATGAATCATACAAAAGAACCGTTCATAGTACTTCAGTTATAGTATCTATTTTTACAATCCATATAATTTTGTTTTGCGTTTAACCGATTTTATATTGTACAAATTGCTAAAAGAAAGTAAAGCTCTTTCACAACAGTTCGTTGACTGACAACACAAATAATTATTTTAGATCACGCTCATTATTCCAATAGACAATACTGTCCATTTATATTTTCAAATAATAAACGATAGATTACAAAAGTGGATTTCCTGTGTTTAAAATGAAATGTTTTAAGGCATTATTTATGTACTGGGTTCACCCTAAGTTTGAGTTCAGTTCGTGTTGATCAATCTTTATCTCTTTTTTGTGCAATGTAAAAGTTTTTATTGGATATTGGTTTTCTTTTGTTTTTTCTCTCTCTTTTAGCCATGGTATTTTCCTTCCGAATAGGCATAACGGATAAGCGACGAGCGGACGCATTTATTAAATGTTCGGAAAAGGGAATGAATATAATAGCTGTCAATTTAATATTACTGGATCATTTGCAAATAGATTTACAGAAAATTGCATCTACAATTCACAATTATCATTTGATTTTCTTGCTTGAATTGTTAAACATTTTATCATGTCGTAGTCTGAAAGCTTGCCACGCGGTATGGGATTTGTCATTGTTGAAGGCTGTATTGTGCTAACTTATACGTCATTTGGTCTCTGTTGGATAGTTTTCTCATAGTCAATCATACTGCATCTTCATATTTTATAGCGATAGCATTGTCGTTCCTAATTCGAAAGTTCGCTCGTCTCTTAATTCACGTCTGCAATACGAAATTACTCTTTTATTGTTTCATATAAAAGAATGTCTCTGGAAACATGTTCACGTATTTCTGTACCTATGCAAAAGAAGAACGATATAAAGGACAAATACATTGAATAGTGCGGGTAAATACCCATTGAAACAACATTCATGTAATGACTTACACGTGGGTATACGGCGATATTTAGAGTACATGAAATAAATGTATCGAGAGGGGAGTAGAACCCGCTTTTCTGCTTTTTTCATATTATTTTCTGAATTAAGACCACCTTTTGACATCGCCATCGATTTGGCGTGGCGAGTTCAAAATGGAAAGTTAAAAAGCGACGTCATCTCGTTTGATCCATGCAATGGAAGCTGTCAATGAAGACTTGGAATTTCTAATACCGATTATTTTTTTTAAACGTCCGTATCAAAGTTTGCATGTGCTCAGTGTAACAGTTAATTACAGCTCAAAAGGATACATTATATAAGAAAAAAATATAAGGCGAAATATCTGTGACTTCCTTTATGCAATAGCGTAATGGTGAATTAAAGTATTTGACAAAATTCTCCATCTTTTAGAAAACTGTGTAGGATTAATCATTTATATAATTAACTGTTGTTTGCAAGTGGCAAACATTATTACATTATATTAATATAGAACTGATTGATATTTTAGTCTCAGATGCATGATTTTGTTATTACATGTAATTGTTATTGGCTTTGAACTAGCTGTCAGTAACTGCGAGTACTCTCAGATCTGTACTTTGTGTCCTGTTTGATGTGAGGGATGTATAAATACCCTGCCACGTCTGGTCTTTGATTTTGTTAGAAGTTTTTTCATTGATAGTCACATTGTTAAATTTTTTCACAAACTGTCTATACTCGAAGTGAAATTTGTTTACAAACTGTCTATACTTGAAGTGATAATATGTCATAGGGAAATACACTTTTATGTTGACCTCTAAATGTCTATAAATGTTGCTTTCCGCAGTGAAGATATTTTCTGGTTTAGATAAAAACAAATCTTTTCATGTATAAGGTTTTATTGTGTATATACATGTTTTTGTAAGCGATAGCAAAAGTTCAAATATTCTGTCAAAATTCTTATTTGACAAATGTGTCGTAAATCGTGACACACATGTCGTAAATTCTGTGATGGCATCACAACCTCTATCGCCTTCGTTCATACTCAGATATGTGTCTATAGTACATTTCAGCAGCTCTCCTTGACAGCATTTATTTATCCCTGTAAATATATAAACATACAAGTGATTTATCTAGAAGAAGGGAAGAATAAAGCAAAGGATATTCAAAGAACTCATAAGTCGAAGAGGTCAACAAAACACAACATAAAAAGTAAAGAAAGAGCAAACGTGGACCCCACCCAAAACCGTGAGTCATCTAAAGTGCTCCGGAATGGTAACAAGTTCCTGCTCCACCTGTTGCACCTGTCGTGTTGCTTAGGTAAGTACAAGTTTGGTGATAAGTCTCATTCGGTGATGCCATATTCGATGAAAACGGTTACGATAGTTGAAACATTGTCCATCGCCATCTATGAAACAGATATTCCATAACGGTCAATTAAGGAGATTATACTACTAGTAATTCTAATACAACCTCGTTTGATTAACCAACTCATGATGGCGTTCGAAAATATTTCGAAAGAATGTCTTCAACTTGACCACTTGGAACCCTTGGTACAATAGCTTCCTTGTAAGCAGCAACTAGGAAATCATGATAGGAAACGCGCAGGCTCTGGAATACCGTATCAACAGGGAAACATATACTCCATATGAAGGCGCTGCTGGAAGTTTTGCTACATTTAGATGGAGAAAACAATTCACTGAATGCATGTTAAGAATACTTTTTAAAATAAAGTATTACAATTGTCTTGTTTTATTAACCTGACACTTGAGGACCTTTTGGTAACCTCTAATTGTCTATGAGGGCTTTGCGTCGATGAGTCCCTGTTTGATTGGCATGTGACCCACATCTCTGTTTTACTCACATACATATATTTAGAGATGTTTAATCATATTAACTTTGTAGGCATCATTCATGGAAAACATTAATAAAGCCACTTTTCTCTCAAATTTGAAGATATAGTGTAGTGCTATTGTGGTATACAGTGGCGTTCCTACATTTGAAAATAAATAACGCAGGTTGTTTTCCTTTATAAGGACATTTACTTACAATGTCGTTTAATGATTATAGTACTATTTGTGAAAAATGCAAAATCGCAGCTCTTTAAGGATGTTCGCTCCTCTGTTTCAAAATAACAAGGTTTTTAAAAGACTGTTATAGATTGATAGAATATGAATAAGGGAACTTAAAAGTTAGAAAAAAATAATAGGTCTGTGTTCTAGTTTTTGAGATATAATCAATTGAAATTTGGCGGGAAATGGTTCTCTCTAGATTTTTCATACATTTAACACTGCCACCTTTTTCCTTTTAAAAACAGTGAAAAAATAACAAGGATTTTATAAAATTTTCAAAAATGACTTTTAAAACTTTATGCAATAAAATTATGAAAAGAAAAGTAGGGGTCAGTGGGCAAATTTTTATTGGCACTACATGGATAAAACTAGAGGATACCGAATATCTGAGAAGCGAACATCCTTAAGATCAGTTTTTGAATTATCAAATCATAAAAAGCAAAGACTCGTCTTATATTTTAGTTAACATTTTCATTTTATTATATTTTTGTTTTATAATTCTTTATTTTCATTTTATTATATTTGTAATCCAGGATGGCATGCTGTAATCAAAACTCTATGAAAGTTTATTGAAGTACATTTCCTGGTTGAGATGTGTTCATGATAATGGCATTATGTCATGATGATTATTTAAAAGTTTTGTAAAATGAAGGACTGAATAAGAGCCACGGTGAATTGACAACATTTATAGAAATTGCAAAGTTCTTGATTGTACAGTGTTTTGAGAAACAATAATGACTATTGAAAGCCTGACACAAATGAGTTGCTAAAGTTCAGACATCCAATTACTGTAACTTGCTTTGCGAAAATTATTGTTTGCTTGAGATATTTAAAATATATTTGAAAAATATTAAGAATGCTTAAATAAAACGATGAATGCTGAATATTTCTATATTACTCCATAGTTACAACCAGTCAAATACTTTTTTTCTTAGCTCACCTGGCCTAAATGACCATGTAAGCGATTGCCATCACTTGGCGTCCGTCGTCGTAAACTTTAAAATAAATTATCTATTCTGAAACTAGTTAGCTAAATGTTACCAAACTTAACGCGAATGTTCCTTAGAGAAATTTGTTTAAAATTCGTACCCAGGGATTCGATACATACATAAACATGGCTGTTGTTGCTAAAAATAGCACATAGTGTAAATTGCAGCCTTTTGCTTATATCCCCCCAAAAAAACAAAAAAAACAGCAGTAAGAGCAAAACTGACAAGGTAACAATGATCTGCAAGGTCAAGGTATATTTTCTATGGACTGTTATGTCAAGAAAAATCAGACAGCATAATAATAACTATGATAATATTATTGCCCCAAAAAATTCAATTCTTAGCAAATTTTACTGTTTTTGGCTCAAATGATAAGAAGGTCAAGTTCTATATCCTGGAAGTAAAAAAAAAAAAACCATCGGACATCCCATTTTAAGTAATTGTCCCTTAAATATATTTTTTTAGTAAATTTGACAGTTTTTTGTTATCATCGCATAGATAGAGAGAAACCATTACATTTAAAAAACTAGAACAATGAAACTAACATTCATGTATAAATCTTCATGGCCGAAATTATCAATTGACCCCGTGTATTATTTGATGTCTTTGAATGATGATTTTTACCTTTTTTGCATTTTTTTGCGGAAATTTTAGTATAGAGAACATTTTAGTAAATAAATGATATTTTTAGCAAAATAAGATCTCCAAATAAGTCTAAAGACTAATCGTTAATTTATCCTTTAGAGGAGTTATTACACTTGAAATTTGAATTTTATGCCAATTTTATGTTTTTAGAAAACTTTAATATATAGAGCGAATCAGGATCATAGGTACCTCTTGTTTATTTGTTAGTCTCCGTAACAAATCACTAGTACCATGCAGTGCAATAAATACTAGAGTAAATTCAACAAAGTTCGCACACTTCACTTGGAGTAACATATGTTAGTTTTCAGTAGCTGTTATTTACATATTTGTTTCTGATTCTAATGAATTTACCACAAGAAATTATAATTTTATACTTACAAAAAGTTTAAACTCATTACAAAATGTGTTGAGATCAAACCTCAATTGTAGTTGATCATTTATCCAAAAAAGAACTTTAAGATTGACATGCATTAAATAGTCGTTTCGAGTCGACTCGAGTCGACACATACTGCTACATGTAGCACAATTGTGCCTTATTTAGAAGAAATTCATCTCAAACTTTTTCTTACCTTTTGTCGAAATACTTTGAACCACACAATTCTTGTCATCTGCTATAGCCTTGAGTGTGTGACGTATACTGCATTCATGTGTGACACAATGAGGGCACATGCAATTGGAAACATCCTGAAACAAAATTCAAAATCAGTTGATTAGCATAAAACGTTCGGATATGCAATCACATTCATGCATATTTATAACTTGAAGTTAAACGTATTCAAAGTATTGATGAAGGAAAAACCTCGAACAGTAAGCATCAAACAACACTAAAATAAAATTGAGAATGGAAATGGGGAATGTGTCAAAGAGACAACAACCCGACCATAGAACAGACAACAGCAGAAGGTCACCAACAGGTCTTCAATGCAGCGAGAAATTCCCGCACCCGGAGGCGTCCTTCAGCTGGCCCCTAAACAAATATATATACTAGTTCAGTGATAATGAACGCCATACTAAACTCCAAATTGTACACAAGAAACTAAAATTAAAAATAATACAAGACTAACAAAGGCTAGAGGCTCCTGACTTGGGACAGGCGCAAAAATGCGGCGGGGTTAAACATGTTTATGAGATCTCAACCCTCCCCCTATACCTCTAGCCAATGTAGAAAAGTAAACGCATAACAATACGCACATTAAAATTCAGTTCAAGAGAAGTCCGAGTCTGATGTCAGAAGATGTAACCAAAGAAAATAAACAAAATGACAATAATACATAAATAACAACAGACTACTAGCAGTTAACTGACATGCCAGCTCCAGACTTCAATTAAACTGATTGAAAGATTATGTCTTCATCATATGAATATCAGGCACAATCCTTCCCGTTAGGGGTTTAGTATCATACCATCATAACATATATGAGAAGAACATAACCCGTGTCTAGTCTACCTTAAAATTGACAAGCGTCAAACCAATTAAACGAGCTATAAATCATTTAAGTCTGGACAATTTGTGAATCCAAACGAAGACTACAAAAAACCCTACCATCATAATCAGATTTTTTGAAGCCCAAACCAGTAGCGAAAAGACGGCCGCTGAACAGGCATATATACACATGTGGCGAGGATGAATTAGCTACTAATAATAATACCGTGTGTCGTATTTGTGATTGTATTTGTTTTCTTCAGAAATGCTTACAACAAACAAAATGAATCAAAAAAGAAACAACGGGAAGCCTATACTAGTTTTCTTGACACATAACAAATAGATTAAGTATCTTTTTTGTGTTTTTTTATTTTCACAAATACGGAAAACTGTCTTAATTAATTCATACATTTTTGTTCGTTCCTGGAGTTTGTTTTTATGTCCTGGTGGTCAATATTTAGTTTTCTTTGAAGTGTTTTGTAGGCTTGTTTTTGCCTTTTTGTCGTTTTCTATTTTGAACATCGTGTCATGTTTTTTTACTCCGACCAATTGATTTTGGTTGCCCCCTTTTGAATCATCTACATTTGTAATCTGTTCTTTCATTTTACATGAATAAACATAGATTCTATCAATTTTTGTTCATACTCTCTAACTATCTTCAGAAAAAACTGAAAAACAAAATTGTATTCTTCAGTTCTCTTGTTTAATTAGCGATATCTCACATCTCATACATCCCTGTGAACTTGCAAATAGATACTTAAGAGACAAGAATGTATACTCCATGTCTAGATCTTTTGCCTGAATGCTGATGGACAACTGAACAGTCGGATCTATGAAAAGTGCAATTATTTTATTTTTCCTGTTCTCAACCTTCCATTCTTATGTAGAAACATACCAAATTAAAGAACCTTAGTGAGCGCGCTCACATACCCCACGTCCCCACATTGTCACTGGAGAAATAAAATAACAGTAAGAAAAAAAATTGTATAAGAAAAAAAAATTGAATCATAATCTCCTGTCGATATGCACATCTACGTAGTATGTCCTTATTATCTACAAAGTTTCATGAAATTCTGTTGTGTGGTTTCAGAGGAGTTGCGATGACAAATTGTTGCAGTAGTATATTGAAGCAAATAAGTTCAAAGGGGCATAACTCCTAGAAGAAAAATTGAATCGTAATTTCCTGTCGATATGCACATCTGCATAGTATGTCCTTATTATCTAAAAAAGGTTTCATGAAATTCTGTTGTGTGGTTTCAGAGGAGTTGCGATGGCAAACTGTTGCAGTAGTATATTGAAGCAAATAAGTTCAAAGGGGCATAACTCCTAGAAAAAAAATTGAATCGTAATTTCCTGTCGATATGGCTATCTACATAGTATGTCCTTATTATCTAAAAATGTTTCATGAAATTCTGTTGTGTGGTTTCAGAGGAGTTGCGATGACAAACTGTTGCAGTAGTATAATGAAGCAAATAAAATCAAAGGGGCGTAACTCCTAGAAAAAAAATTGAATCGTAATTTCCTGTCGATATGCACATCTGCATAGTATGTCCTTATTATCTAAAAAGGTTTCATGAAACTCTGTTGTGTGGTTTCAGAGGAGTTGCGATGACAAACTGTTGCAGTAGTATATTGAAGCAAATAAGTTCAAAGGGCATAACTCCTAGAAAAAAAAATTGAATCGTAATTTCCTGTCGATATGCACATCTACATAGTATGTCCTTATTATCTAAAAATGTTTCATGAAATTCTGTTGTGTGGTTTCAGAGGAGTTGCGTAGACAAACTGTTGCAAAAAAGTTCAAAGGGGCGAAACTCCTAGAAAAAAAATTAAATCGTAATTTCCTGTCGATATGCACAAAAAAAGTCATCTGCATAGTATGTCCTTATTACCTAAAAAGGTTTCATGAAATTCTGTTGTCTGGTTTCAGAGGAGTTGCGATGAAAAACTGTTGCAGTAGTATATTGAAGCAAATAAGTTCAAAGGGGCGTAACTCCTAGAAAAAAATATTGAATCGTAATTTCATGTCGATATGCACATCTACGTAGTATGATTGTCCTTATTATCTGAAAAGGTTTCATGAAATTCTGTTGTGTGGTTTGAGAGGAGTTGCGATGACAAGAAAAAGGACTGACGGACTGACGGACAGACGGACGGACGGGTCAAAAACATTATACCCTCCGCAACTCGTTGCGTGGGGTATAATTATTCTGTCTTCGGCGTTTAGATGTCTCAGTTTATAAGATATGACTGAGCTTATTATCAAGCTATTTTGATTTATTTGACAGGTATACACTTAACTCAAACCCGACTCCAGGAAGGATATGAGTTAGAACGATTGCAATAGGTAATTCATAAGTTGTTTTATGTCCGCCATTATACACGGTTAATTGTTACAGTAAATCAAAATCATTTCAATATCTTAATAAAATGTCAAAGAAATAAATTGCAATTGATGAGTTCGAAATGGCCATATGACAGGTTTTGAATAATGAACTGACCCACAATCTTATAAAAAAAAACACTTATTCTAAGCAGGAACAAATAAGCAATAAGCATAAGTTTTCAACTGATAGATATAATACGAAAATACAAGGCGTGTGAGTTTCATAAACGTAAGGTCAAAACACACCTCTCACCAGGATCAGTATAGAGGAAACTTTTAAGTCAATTAGCTTTAAATGATTGATTGATTGTTTCTTGATTTACACCATTCGGCAAGTATTGAAGAAACCCGTAATAGGACTGTTTTTCATCTTCTTGTCAAGCAGTCATTTTTATATTCTCTTTATGGGAGAAGAACTAACAATCATGTTCGTATAGTCACATTTTGTCTATTAGAGAAATTTCACCAATAGCGTAATGATCATCAAAGACCTTATCTGTCAACAGCTTGCTATTACTATGCCCGAACACGCTTTCAAAGTCTCACTGCTATCTTTAGGATTAGTGATCCGTCAGCAGTGTATCAATCATCAGCACCGTGTCGTATTAAGACTTGATCCATCAGTGGATTGACAGGAAGTGATTAGCTATAATGGAATAGATATCCTTTAGCTAGATGAAGTAATACATATAGATGAAGGAATCTTTTTATTTCTATGCGTCTTTATCTACATTTTGCAGGACTGATTTCCCACGGGGAAGTATTAAATCACAATACAAAATAGTCTAAATTTCATTTACATCAAGAATAAAAATATACTGTTTGATTATCCAAATTGTTATAGTTCAAAATGTCAATACTTATTTGATATGGCTTTTAAGAAGTTAACACTATATAGGAGGGTCTGGATGGGGGTCCTTCATTTCTGTATTCTTTATTTTTTTAGGCCATTTTACTCTATTCTTTATACTTTTTGCCCATTATTCCCTATTCTTTATATTTTAGCACCTTAGTATTCTTTATTCTTTATTTTTTTTGTCCATTTTTCTCAATTCTTTATATTTTTTGCCCATTATTCTCTGTTCTGTAAACCCCCATCCACACCCTCATATAGTATTTTTTTACCACCAAAGTGTTTGTTGCTTGACTGGTTACAACTTAAATGTATCAATTTAAAGACATCTTTGGCTCAAATATTAGCTCTGAGCTTTCTTAAAGAATGCAATTTTATAAAAGTTCATCTGACTCAGCATGTTCGTCTCCAATTAACTATTTTAATACTTGCCGATGTAGTGTTTATTAGCGGGGGCGTCATAAGCCTACTTATCGCTGCTCTGATACTGCTCTGGCACTAACTTGATTTATAACATACATGTATTTAACATTTCTATTTTAAAGATTTTTTTCCTATCGTTACTGATGCACAGATCCCTCAGGCGCGGTTGACTACAGACTGTTTCAAATCTTCGAACTTATAGTTTTTCACTGCATATTAACTATACCGATTAACTTTCTTCTTTTTTAATTTGACGTTTCCGCATAATGTCTCTGAACATTCCGGATAAAAAGTTAACCCCCAAAAAGTACAACGACTGCTACAAATTTAAAATGATTATATTTTATAAATCTCGGTTAAGAAATAATTTATGATTTTATTTAAAAGTTTTTTAAATATTGATTTTTCAATACTTTCATATCTAAGAAATTACTAATGTTGGCTTGCTTTTTGACTTTAATATATAGCTGCAGGCTATAAAATGTACCGATCATACCTTTATTTCATAAAACAACAATGCAGCAAAAGCAAATGTGTAAGAGGGTAAATTGTTAATGTCATAAGTAAGAGTTCGTCCACTATGAGAAATGGCTACATTGTACTTTTACAAAAAGATTTTACTAAAATGTGTCAAGGTAGACCAATTTGGTACAAGCTAAAATGATAGCATTTGTACATGTATAATAAAAAAATATGTAGTTTATATTGTACTAATGTTAAAAATATAATTAACAGTAAACGTTGTGCATTTGCCATCCAGGTTAACATAATACTTCATCTCACCTTTATCTATATAAGTCAGAAAAAGTGACTTACCTACCTCGAAAGACAAAATATACCGTTTCATGGTTTCAAATTTAGAAATTATTTAACTCCAGTGCTTTATCAGTCTCAATAAATCTCGAAGTCATGTATATTGCATATCATACATCACGTGACAGCTACATGTATGTGAACTGGATTTATGAAATAAAATGAAATTTTTGATCACTACGGGAAACAATGAAATAATATATATGGTTTGCTACTGACCTACTACGGATCCATAGAGGGTAATCAGTATCGAACCGTAAAACGAAGTTATCGCACAGGACAAGACTGTTCATTATATGTAATACTGAAGTGCAAATGTATACATATATACCTGGAAACTTTCGCAGTCGTCACTGTCTTCTCGGATTGTAGATTTCAGAAATCTAATGCTGCATTTAAGTGAGGTATAATTATCACAACTTCGTTTTTCTGAAAGGGTAAAGAACATTAACAAGCAACATGTAATTTTTATTTAAAGCCGAGGACAATTCCCCCTGTATTTGGTTTAATCACTGACTGAGTTAAATTCAGAAAGTTGCCAAAATCTACTTGCATATAAATATTGAAGAGGCCTTATTTCAAAGACCTATGATAGATAGATTTACAGTTGAAGATATTTGTCTCACCTATTTCAATTTATTCTTGTGACGTTACCGAATGAGAAAAATAATAATATTGAAAAGGTATACTTACAATTTAAAAAAAAAAATACGAAGAACTAAACTTAGCCAAGATCCCTAAAATTGCAAATACTATCTTTAGGCATATTTAATTTGGTGTTTTATTCAGACAAAATGATTCATGGATCCTTCTGAATTTAGATTTAAACTAACATACATATACAAGTACCATTCATATAGATCCCATACTGCATCTATCACAACAATTACTTTTTATTAAATCAAATGTTTTTTCTCAATGTATGCACATGCAATTATTTGCACCTGTCTTAAGTCAGGAATCTGATGTTCAGTAGTTGTCGTTTGTTGATGTGGTTCATAAGTGTTTCTCATTTCCCGTTTTTATATAGATTAGACCGTTGGTTTTCCCGTTTGAATGGTTTTACACTAGTAATTGTTGGGGCCCTTTATAGCTTGCTGTGCGGTGTGAGCCAAGGCTCCGTGTTGAAGACCGTACTTTGACCTATAATGGTTTACTTTTATAAACTGTGACTTGGATGGAGAGTTGTCTCATTGGCACTCATACCAAATCTTCTTATATCCATATATGTAACAAAAAAAAAAAAAAACAAAAAAAAAAAAAGTTATATTAACTTTCTACCAAATACTGGATGTGAGTTAGAAGTGGTACTAGTACGCATACGGATTTGTAATTTCACTTTTAATACCTCGATATATATTGGGAACAAGTATCGCTACAAATGTAGCTATATTTTAACGGACTTTGTCATCCCACCTTCATATGAGATTATTTTCTTCAGCTACCTTTAACAACAAGTTTTGAAGGGTATTCAATCAGTTTTCCATAGAAGACTTAATATGTGTCCAAGCCTAGCACTAACACACATTTTCGTGTTCAGTGTACAATGAAATCTTGGTCAAAATCTTAATTTAGCATGTGCATTAAAAACTTATTAATAATGTACATGTATACAAGTTTCATGTTGACGTGATCACAGAACTAACTTAAACAAAATGTTTAACCTACATTAACCAAACAAATATTAACCTAGTATCACATGTCCCTGTTCAGTGAAAATTGAGTTAAACCCCTAATTTGTAGCATATATACTAAACAGTTGACTACATAATGATGATAAGTGTACTAAGTTTCATTTTATGCGACCACAAACTCCCCTAGACAAAAACTTTATCACCACTTTAATATGAAACGTGACGGACGGACGGACGGACTAACGGACATAATATGCCTTGCATTTTCGTCGGCGGGGTATAAAATCACTATGAACTTTTTGCAACTAACTGGTGTGACAAGTTTCTTATTAGTGTAAACGTTAACATTTCATAATTACTTTTTACTCTAATTAATTATAAGAGATTTACACCTCTGCAATGTATTAAGAAACTAAGACAAATTTGTACTCTAATAAATCTATAATCTTATAGTTATCCCCCTTGCGATGGATGAGTTGAATAAGTAGATGATAGGGATGAAAAGTAAAGAATTTAAGAAGCTATGTACTTGTCACTATTTCTAATCATTACAGTAGAATAGTAAAGGTTAGTCTGAAAAGGCATTACTGGTATCAACTAGTAATTTTAATCCCTATTATGAAAATGAGTTTCTATTTATCAATAAGAGTTATGTGAAGTTATGTGTAAATTACTCACCAGTAGACACTAGAGATTCATTATGTAGAGTCGTTCCTTTTGAAGAAATTTTCTTTAAACTATCATACACGTCTTTTTTCAGGACAAAATTTTTATACGATCTGGAAGTAAAATAGCATGAATAAAGATAATGCATGTAAATGCAAATACACATTACATTTGTCCAAAATCAATTCTTATATAGCTGTCTTTGTTTGATTATTGCATTTATTTATTTAGTCATTCATTCATTCATTCATTTCTTTATTTATTTTTATGATCATTTCTGAACACTTTCCTGACGAGTATGGCCATGAAATAAAGATTCTTAGTAAAAGTTTAAACTTCTGGGAGCATTCTGAAAGAATATTAAAATTGTTATTTCCTTTCGATTCAAAAGGCTTCCCCTCTTAACTATATTGATAGCCTTAAAATCAATAACAAACTCTTAAAGATTCCAAATTTTATTAGTTCCCAAGAACTTGGCAATTTTCTTGCGAAACATAAATCCTATTAAAAGCGCTCGAAAATTAAATGTTTCCATGCTAGCTTAGATTTATTAAGACATAAATATTCTAATGTGAGTGCTATAATCTTTATTGCATGCTCTTCACTTCATACTTTAATTTCATATCTCACTTCGTCCAAGGATTCTTTTTAAGGTATGATTAATTTTGTTTCAATAAATAATGTGTTATGTAAAATCAAATTAGAACTTGCGAAAATATAATTTATTACTCTATAAAAGAACGGGTAATGAAGGACGCTGATAGCTCAAACATCTAAATTAACATAATTAAAAAAATAGAGTTCCTATGCATGTGATAAGTACTGTCATTTTTTTACGGATCTTTCTTATGTTCATTGATCGAGATGCAAACAATTTACAAAAAATACAAATACATATATATATATATCTAGAGGTGGTCTGCGTACCTGTTTTCAACAACGGACAGGTACCTTTCTAATTTATCAAGTTTTCTGGAAAAAAAGCAGTGAAAACATCTAATAATTTTTTTTTGTGTTATTGAAACTTTGCCTCATTTTGGGTTAAAATTGGAACCCACGAAAATTAATCAATCCACAGTATAAGACAATAACACCGTTTTTATTATTTTGAGCGTAAACTTTTTCATGAGACGGGTACAAATACAATGTTTGGCGTTTGTCAGCTTTACACATTATTTCTAGTTCCCTTCGTTTTCGCAAACATATGACATTATTAATAAGAAACCTTTGGAAAATCCCTTTAAAATTGTTTTCAATAATCATAATAGACTATTTCAATATTACGGTAATGAATTTAGAGAGACACGTTGAGATAGACTTTTTCAATATTACCTACTCCTGACTGATTATATAATTTTTCGACAACATACAAACTCTGTGGTAGGACGTTCTGGTACTCGGCAAAGAAAGAGCAACTAAAAGAAGTAAAATCAATCTTACAATCAGTGCAATTCTTCTTCTTCTTTAAGTTTCTAGCGATCATTCATTAAATGAAGATTATTTCGCCGGGCGTCGACTTTTAAATTTGATTTATAATTTACAAGATAACAAGAAAAAAGAAACAAAATCAAAAATAAAAAATAAAAATAATATGTACATTTGAAAAATAACATTTAGATAAAACTATATACATTTGATATATGGTTTCTTTTGGTTCTACTTACTTGACCGAGAACCATAATGTCCTATGATAGAAAAGGTAACCTGTCGAAACATTATATACTCAAGTGTCAAAATTCGGTAATATGATAATATTTTATCAACTTTGTCAGTTCATAAAAATGTTAAGTACTCTACAACTTGGATAGAAACTCAGCTCATGCAGTCAAAAGACATTAGATTCATGTAACGAAACCATTGCAATATATCACAAAACCAATTTGTAGAAATAATCTGTTTGGAAACGATTGCTGATATTACGTCTACATTGTTGCTTTATAGTAGATTGATAAAAAGAATAATTTATGATTTATTCAGTCTTAATTAGGAAATAACACAAAATTGTTTGACAACTGTAATGTTCATGTCCCAAAAATATCATTTACTAAAGTAACTAAAATAGTATTAATATAAAATCATGCTCATACATAATTACGGGAAAAAAGATAACATGTTTTTTGCTTAAACAGGATATTATACAATGTATCATGAATATTTGAGTAGACAAATTAAGCATTTAAGGATATACACCTCTGAGGAGCCAAAAATATCTAGAATTAAACTTTTTCCTTAACCTGATTTTTGGGTTTATATGACTGTAAAAAATAATTGGTGAAGAAAAAGTCATATGGTGGTGCACTTCTTTTTTTGCTACAGCCATTTGAAAGTACCGAATTTTGATGATTTTCCTATTTTTCATCAATTTTTACCCATGTTTGGGCTATCATCATGAAAAAAATCACAGTTTCACATTTAAACTTTTTTCATTCTTTCACTAAAGATGAAGTGGACCAATCTGAATAAATTTAATTTAAAAAAAACTATGGGTAGGTGTTAATATAAGAAAGTTTTATAAAATTTTGTTGCTTTTTCGTGTCAAATTTACCATGTTCTCAATTTTGTAAATTATGGATTTTTCTCTTTTTCTTTAGAACAAAAACCATACTATTTCAACTTCTTTGTTATAAATGATTGAAAAAATACATATCTAGGAAATTTGAAAAGAAAAAAAATTATATGTGATGTACATGTATCTTGTAAAATCATTTCTTGTACCCCTCACCCATTTACTCAACATTTTGGCTAATGAGACTGACTTGATTGGTTATAAAATTTGAAAATTTTAATAATCAAAAACTACTTATTGTAAAAAAATACACAATTTTTTTCACAGAGTTAAGTTTGATTATAATATTTTTTAAAATCATTGATATTTTCCACTTGTATCACAAGTTTTAGAAATAATTCCAGAACGATATTTCAACGACACTGAAACGTCAGAAGAATACATCATTAACTGCAGTAACTAGTATATTTTATTAAATATTCTATGCTACCAATAAAGTCAACAAAATAGCCTAAGTATATATTTTCTTTTTGTTTTCTGAGTGACTTTTTTGTTACATGCATAGTCTGCTGTTTCTTTTTCTTCGTTTTACTAATTACAAACATTGCATTGGGTTTAACTTCTTTTACATGTTCCGGTATTCTCACATATTGGTATAATATCACATTTTACTTGGCGTTGTAGAGAGATTAAGTGTACAAAAAAGGAAAGGGCAAATTTCTCCATTGTTTCACTCATATGGTCAAAATGTAAAAGTTGTCACATCATACTGGGATTACGATATTTAAGAGTGTATCATTTACAAAGACCCCTTTTCAACAGTTTTACAAATTTCCGTAAATTCTAATTGTAGATCATTTCATGTTGTTGTTGAATGCATTTTGAATCAGAATTTCGAATAGTAATGTTTTATAAAATTTTGCTTCAAAGAATATCCTATACCAAAATGAATTGATTTGCACTCGAAAGACAACATGAAGCTTTACTGCCAAATAATTATAAAAGATTCTTATTGAAAATTAGAGAGAAAAAACCAAGGGGGCAAGGTGTACATTACATAGTTATGAAAATATATAAGTAAAAGAATAAACAGGGAGGTAAGCTTTTGTCAATAAGAAGCATACCCATCGAGAAAAACATAGACTAAATGTCAACATACATCCTATACAATATTTCTAGTTCTAAATCGTCAAGCGTCTAAAATAGTAAATAGATTGGAACAGAAACTATCAGAAATATCCCACCAACAGCATGTTATCCAAATGACACAAAAAAATTAATAAAAGATATACAACCACATTGACAAGCTCCTTGCTTTGGTTAGGCATATGGATATGTAGTTTTAAATTAGTTTATTTTTTTTTTATCTAGATCTTTCCCCTGCCCTTATTCTTTTTTTCAGCGATCAGAGGATTAATAAAAGATATTTAATTTAGAAGAACATAAAAGTAACATCAGTGTAAAAGAGAGGCGAAAGATACCAAAGGGACATTCAAACTCGTAAGTCGAAAATAAACTGACAACGCCATGGCGAAAAAGAAAAAAAACCCAAACAGACAAACAGTACACAAAACGAAACATAGAAAACTAAAGACTGAGCAACACGAACCCCACTAAAAACTGGGGCTGATCTCAAGTGCTCCAGAAGGGTAAGCAGATCCTTACTCCACATGTGGCACCCGTTGTGTTGCTCATGATATTACAAACCCGGAAATAAGTCTAATTAGTTAGGTCATATTCGGGGAAAAAGGAACGGGATTGTAGTTACGACATTAAGAACATATCCGCTTTCATCTGTGAAACGGATATTCCAAAACGGTCAACCAACTCGTGATGGCGTCCGTAAAATTTACGAAGGGATGATTTCAACTTCACCACTTGGAACTCTTGGTTCAAAAGCTTCCTTGTGAGCAGCAACCTCCTATCAAGGAAATCATGATAGGAAATACAAGCCCTCGAATATCGTATCAACAGGGAGATATATACTCCTTATGCAGGCGCTGCTGGAATGTTGCTTCATAGAAATGGAAAGTTCACAATTGGGAAGCTGAATTCATCTCTTTTGTCGTAAAGTTTTGTTTTCAACCGACCCTCGTTGTCAATTTGAAGATGTTAGTCTAGATATGAGGCAGACGTAACTGTATATGTTGTACACTTTATTTCAAGTTCGATGGGAAAGATGTGTTCAACATAGTCACCAAATTTTGAATTATTTAGTGAGAAAACATCATCTTTATAGCGGAAAGTAAAGTTAAAGTATACTGCTACCTTCTTTTCTTTTTCCCTAAGAAGTTCCTGTATGAAGTCAGCCTCATATGAATGACGGAACAAGTCGACAAGAAGAGGGGCACAGTTATTTTCCATGGGAATGCCGATTGTTTGTTGAAAAACACTTCCTCCAAACGCAACAAATTTGTTGTCAGTCAAGAAATCAAGCATCTTGATAATATAAGTTTCAGAGAATGTTTTCTTTGAATCAGAGTGATTTTTTACAAAGTAGGATTTATCCTTCCCTAAGACAAGATACTTGCATCTACGTTGGCCATTCTTTTTTATGAAACAAAGCAGGACCAACTCTTTCAATTTGTCTTTTAGTTTCGAATAGGGAATACTTGTGTAAAGTGTAGAAAAGTCAAATGTTTTAATACTATTGTAAGATGAAAGAGTCTTAGATTGTATGTACTCTAAAAGTTCTTTGTAATTTTTCAGTATCTACATATGATTCACGCCACCTCTGGAATAGCTAGTTTCACAAGAACTTTGAAGCCTGACTTTGATTGCTGACATTGCCTGGCATAATCCTCGACTGAATCCATCAGTATTTTGAAGTTGTGTTTCCAATTGATGGATTTAGGCTCATGATATTTCGGGCCTTTGGATAACACATTTTGCAGAGAAGTGTTATTGACAATGTTTAAGTCACCAGTAATAACGTGGCCAGCCGGATTATATATGAATGGGGAACAAGCACAGGTACCGGTGCAATCAGGAGATTTAGACTTAAAGTCGTCAATATTGAGATCCTGCAACACGTGTTTGTAATTGATACGTTTAGTTGCAATTGGTTTGGTATAGGTATAAGAAATGATAGGTACAGACTGATCTTAAAAAATGAAAACGACACGTTATAAATTTCATGCGTCCGAAGCGCTTTTCTGGATTTACCTTCTTAAAATAGTGAGGTATTTTAGAGTCAATTGATTTATTATGAAGGACATTGCCCAAGTTGATGGCATCAAGAGTTTTGTTGGCAAAGGATAGTTTTAGAAGGATCTTTTCTGCTTTTTATCCTTTCCAAAACGAACTGGTTTGAAAAGTCTGTGACTTACAATATCCGAAATGATAGTTGTAAGTTTGTATTGGTTTGAATGAGGGTTTGTAACAGTGGTTTCCAAACATAAGTTGTACAAAGAATGAAGTTTTAAAAGGAGTAGTGAATAAAACTTCATGCGAATGTAGAAAAGCACTTGACTATAAGATAACGGCATCACCGTATAAAAGATAGGATACACTAAACAGTAAGAAATGAAATTAGTATGATGTTTCAAGGCATTCTCGCAATTATGGAAAATCAGTTTGAAAGTACTCTAACTGCTTATGTGAAACCATAGTCTCACAATCATGCATCAGTGGCTGTATTACATAGAAAGATTTTATAAAACAACTTTATAGCTAGTACAGAAAGACACATTATATACTGTACATAATATTAATACAGTAAAACAAAATAAAGAAGCCTTTCGTCTTTTCCCTATAAAATAGCGAATTATAAAAATCCTAAATTCCAATCACATTCATTGTATTTTATGACTATAAATCAACAAGTGTTTGAAGCCCCTCCCCCCCCCTCCCCCCAAAAAAAAAATAATCACAAATTTAAAGGAAAACTTCTTAACCTCTTATTTTTTGTAACAATATTACCGTGATAAATACAATGTATATGTACCGCTTTTTATATAAAACAGCTTCCATTTGCAGTTGATTATTTCCATATGATTCCGGATTTAATACGTAAAGAATGAGACATCTTCTAACCAATAACTTTTAGAGAATGATTTCATAATTGTTGTCTGTAAGATTTTATTAGATTTATTACTTTACATAGAATACGTTGTATGGTTGGAGAAAAGTATAAAAATATATAAAATGTTACAAGAACTTTTGATTGAAGAATTTAAAAACGGAAGATCAGAACGCAACCAGTCATCCTACATCATGCGAATATTTACGGGAAAAAGTTAAAATCACTTTATCAATTTGTGTGTGTCGAGACAAGATCGTGTCTTCTTGTTCATTACCCCTACTGGTGCCAGGTCGAATATTATCTTCTGTTATAAAGCACTTTTACAACAATCCTTCTAACTTCCTTGCTGATTAAATCAAGAGGCTGTATATTATAGAATGTAATTGAAAACTAGTGTAGTGTACATATTGGATAAATGTGGATGTCGTAAAATAATAGAATCACTACAATGGCCTGGAAAGACTCAATTATGGTTAAGGGTTGATGCAGATTACAATTAAATTGCGAATTAAATTAGGAGATGACATATCGGAGAGGCATTAACACTTCACAGATAACAGAAATAATAATGATGACTTGAACTATATAATTCCTTATAGTAACAAGTGATGATTATATCATTTAAAATCGTGAAAAATACATCAGCATATTTCTTCCGATATCTAGGTTCTGGTAAAATATCACTGGTTATATGAAGTAATGATAAATGGAGAGATGTTATTGTAAAATAGAACACCTAATTTGATCGTGAGTACAACGCTTCAAAACGTATCTCAACGTATGCATGTAATTATATACAGGATGATCTCTCATTTCGTTTGTAAGATATTTTATTTAATTTAGAAGATATCTTATAAAGTTAACAAGATATCTTTAAGAATAAATATATAAAGTATCTTATACAGTTTATAAGATATTTTTTTTCAAAATTAACAAAACATCTTTTTAACTAAATAAGATAATTTTATGACCTAAATAAGATATCTAATAAACTGAATAAGATATTTTTACTTTATAAGATATCTTATATATTAAATGAGATATTTTAAAACAAATTGAGATATCTTATCAACTGAATAAGATATCTTATAAACCAACAGATATATCTCTTAAAATTATAGATATATATCTTCAACTAATAGAGATATCAGATATATTAAATAAGATATCTTATAATTTTAGTAAGATATCGGATAAATCAATTATATAAGATATATTGTATAGCTTATTAAATATCTTATATTTAATAAAAGTAAATAAATAACATAATACTTTTAAAGATATCCTACAAACTATGCAACATATCTCATAAAGTATTATCTTAAAACAAACTAAGATATCTTATAAACTGTATAAGACATCTAGAGGTCAAAATACAGCCCTTTATAGCTTGCTGTTCGGTGTGAGCCAAGGCTCCGTGTTGAAGACCGTACTTTGACCTATAATGGTTTACTTTTATAAATTTTGACTTGGATTGAGAGTTGTCTCATTGGCACTCATACCACATCTTCCTATATCTATTCGACAAGAGACAGGTGTGTTGACAATATGTGAAGCTCAAAATCATCCCCAGTCTAAAATACTGAGAATAAATTTACCACAGACTATCAATTTGAAAGAACAGTTACTTTAAACAATACGAAACTCATTAAATGACAAAAACATGAAACGACATAAACATAAGCCAGGTATAAACTAGTTGTTGAGATCTTAGCACTCCGTTTTTTATTTTAATCAGTAGACCAACACATTTTAAAGTTTCTTAAAAGAAGATACAATACAAAATAAGTACAATAATATCTTTTAACAATATACTAAGGACTTATTAACATGCGTGCTTAGCGGAGAAGCGGCAAATACCAAAAAGTCATAGATACTTGGGGACAGGACAATTTTTTTTAGCCATCCCCCTTTTTTCCAAAATCCGTTATTTTTTGTTTTCTATCAATTCCAATTATTTTTCGCGTTTTTCTGTATTATATGCACATAAACATACTAGAAATAACTTGTATTTGATATTTACTATCAATTCCAAGTTTACTATCCACAGCGGTCAATGCTATATTATATAGAGAGAAGGTATATCATTTCGTACCTTATCACCTATTTTCCTACGTAATATCTAGGAGGAATCCCAAGTCTAACTCACAAAATATTTAATTTCCTTTGAGTCAGTGGGCATAATTCGTTTCCGCTATCATTTCTCTTTTAAAGCGGTTGGTACTTTTGTTCGTCGTGTCGTCGTATTTTTATTCCTAAATGACGGTAGTATTGTATGGGCAACAAATCTACTTTCGCGCCAAATCCGGTTCCCTAAAACAAAGATTCAAAAGTTGCATTTGTCATATTGACAGGTAACGCTTTGTTGATGGTTCGTATTCGGTGAAGTCACATTTGAAGAAAAAATGGTGTGGTAGTGGATACGACACGTGAAATACATATATACCACACCTTTGATAACGCAAAAACATACCTCTGTAAGATAAACTTTGCAATATTCTTTTGTGTTTCATTTAAGTTCTGGTGGTGAGATATAGGCAGTGGGGGACTATGCGAAGGATGAGATTGTTGTAGCTGTTGATGTCTTCTATAGGTAGGATCTGCAGACGGTGGGCGTAAACCAATCAGGGACTCGGTCTTTTTAAACAGAAAAATAGCACAAATTGTGTACAGGTACATCTACAACAAATAAAGGGATACAATATTTAAAAGCTTTAAGTCTTTCTCGTTATCTTTTGATATTCGTTTTGTGAATATTTCTTTACTTACAAAACGACGACTTAATATTGAACATTTATCAATTTTGCAATCCTTTCAAAAACAATTTTTCATTCACGAGCTGCTTGCAATCTTTCGCGAATATTACGAAAACGATTTTGAACTCACGTTGTTTGAAAGCATTTGCAAATATTGAAGAAAACGATTGTTCACTCTCAATATGTCTGGAGATACGCAGGAAGTCAGAATAAAACATGTGAAATAAGATTGTAAGGATGATTGAACACAGGATGTGTTTTTTTTTAAATTGAATTATAAAAATTCATCAGACATACGAGGTATTTTTTAATTTTTTATCATAAACAAATAATTATTTCACTTCAAAAGAAGCATGACAGGTAAATTAAAACAAAATAGATCAAAGTTCACACCACAAGTTCATATTTGTACTTGATCCTTTAATTTTTTTTAGCGATTCGTAATACACTTGTATCAGAATACAAAACATAAGGGTTCAAAATTCAAAACTTAAAGGTTTTGGTTAGTTATATCATCAGAAATTTGAACGCTTGCGAGATGAATATCCCGAAACATTTCGTTTTCGATGGATCATTGTCGAAGAAAATGTATGCCAAGAAACGTTACTTCAAAACTATTTTATCATCTTTTGGACTACTTATTAATAATTGCACCTACAAAATAATTTTGTTATGAAGGAATAGACAAAAGACTTGTTTAATAAAAAAATTATTTATATAGCACGTGTAAACCAATATTGGAATTTTATATTCAAAATTGTATTCAATGCTTGATTGTTCCAAATTTGTTTAGATTTCTGTGAAGTTTTAATTGGTGTTTTTGTCTTTGATTCTTTCATTTCTACCGAAACGACAGAAAAGTTTAGTTGATACAGGCCTCTTCCAATCGTAATTGCTTTGTCTGCGTGCTATACATCTTTAATTGTGGTGGCTCCTTAGATAACACAATATAATGAGCAATCACACTTTGGTTTCCCTGTTATATTAATGTTTAATATGTTACGAAGGAAAGTAATTTGAATTCTAGCGATTTCACGTTGACATTTTTATCTTCGACTGTTCATTGCTTTATCCACATACTTTATATATTCGGTGTCGAATTTTTATAAAAAGATATAAATTATATTATAGTACAACAACAATGAAATGTACAAACATGAGCAAAATATTCAGTCGCCTTTTGCTTTGTACAGAGACGTTTGTACCCAAAATCTGATTGTATTCATAAAAACATAATTGCGGCATTATTTGACACGGTTAAGGATGTATGCAAACTATTTTCCACGTAATTCAAGTACAAAAAAAAACCGTGACTACATCTGATATACTGATATAATTAAGTAATAAGATTACTTGCCATGCCAGAATTTAATCTGATCAAATTATATATGTGCATTAATTGCAATCCTTCAAGTTGGTTTAAAACAAGATACCGTCAAAATTACAATATAAAAACGTAAAGGTCAATATTCCTCTAATATCCAGGTAAATGTCATTCTCAAAAACATCAGCACGCAAACCTGTTTCGGGACGTTTAAAAACACGATGGCCACCATGAAAAAGTCATTTTGTATAATTTGTTAACTCTACGGGATAATTAGTAAACTCAAACTATGTCAGAAAACCTTAATACATAAAAGAGAGGACAACCGTGATGACAAGGCATATGGCTATGTATCAGAGGAAAACCGATGACAAGACATATGGCTATGGATCAGAGTAAAACCGTTAATGACAAGGCATATGGTTATGGATCGAAGTAAAAACCTTGATAACAAGGCAAATGCTATGTATCAGATTAAAACCGTTGATGACAAGGCATATGGCTATGTATCGGAGTAAAACCGTTTATGACATGCCAATTGGCTATGTATCGGAGTAAAACGTTAACGACAAGGCATATGGCTATGTTTCGGAGTAAAACCGTTAATGGTAAGGCATATGGCTATGGATCAGAGTAAAACTTTTGATGACAAGGCATATGGCTATGTATGGCACGCCTGAACCACTTTTATTAATTAATCTTAGATTATCTCAGATAAACTAGGATTTTCTCAGATAATCCCGGTTTATCTCAGATAAACTAAGATTATCTCAGCTTAATTCAAATTCGAGAAAATCCTAGTTTATTTCAGAAAATACAGAAAATTCATTATCTGGAGAAAATCCCGATTTATCTCAAAATATTAAGAAAATCTAGGTTTTTCTGATCGATTTTCAGATAATCCTAATTTATCTCCAGATAATTAAATTTTTCAATTTCAGATAATGAATTATCTCATTTCTCGAGAAAATCTAGGTTTATCTCGGATTCTAAATATACAAAAGAACAATGTAACGAGTGTTTTAATTGGACGACACTGAATCCGGCGTTTAACGTTTTACTTTCTCTTTGAAACCATGATGGTGACGAATTCACTTCCTATTATTGGGTGAACGGGGATGTGCCAAAATATGGGTCATAATTTTGCGAGATTTTATATTAAAATTAGCGTCCTTTTCAGAGGAGGGGCGACATTCAGCATACGGCACGCAATTTTTACTGATCGATCGCTGTTATTGTGTCATTTATCACTACTCGTGGTGTGAACATCACCGTTATTGACACCTGGACAAGCGAAATTTGTTGAATCAATTATTACAGAAGGGCTGATTATATACAATATACATATACTTTGTACATAAGTAATAAACAAATTTGGTAGCTATTTCTTGTACCCAAACTGACTGTTTATTACCGACGGCTAATTTCGACATCGATAATCATTGAATTCTCATATTTTAATTCATTCAGTCGGTTTTAATTTTTTAATCGTGACAAAGTTTTGTAAAATATTTAATTTTAACTATTGCGTTATTTCGTCATTTGTCAGTAAACAAAATAAATAGCACTAGAAAGAAGGCAACTAAGTAATCCAATACACAAATGCACGATTCAATTATGGAAAAAAACAATTATTTCATCATGGTTATTCATTAAACATAATTTTCATTTTGTTTTCAAAATGATTAAATACATAAGAGTTTATATGCCACGAAACTTAAAGCGCCAGTTATTAATTGTAGGATATAAACAATAAATGTACATTGTCTGAATACAAAATGTGTGTGTACTCGCTAACACGGGTGTCATTCGGTTTATCGAGAGAAATGATCGTGAAAGAATATCTAACGGAGGTCAAGTATTGCGAGACGATCGTGAAAGCTCTGGTACCGGATCGTGAAAGAAATTTAATCGAGAAGACATATGAAAAGTCATTAAATAATCTAATTTAATTAATTACACGGACAAATTTACAACAAAATAAAACTGTCTGTCAAAATGGTCGAACATTATGATCAGTATGTGAGAAAATCCAGTTCTAAAAGTACATAGTTTTTACAAAACAACAAAAGGCATATTGCTCCTCGACATTTCAGTGACATCAAAAATGTAAACAAACATGATTTTTTCACAAATTCCAATAAAATAAACTATTTTTCTTCGAAAAAGGGCATTCTATTTGAATGCATCAAATGGTTCTCATAGTTATTTTGTATAAACATAATCTGAAACTTGGTAAAAAAGAAATATTTACACAAAATTGATATTTCGGATCGTGAAAGATCACGTACTGGTTTATGAAGATCGTGAAAAGGATCGTAAAAGATCTAATGCTACGAAGACGTTCATATTATTCTTCAATTATATGATAATTAATATTTGTTATTGGTATTAAAAAAAACTAGATTGGCATGACTGACCCGGGTCTCTTTTGCTGGTGAATAGGGCTATAATCGTGCAATGCCATTGGATCTAATATCTTATAATACCACACAGACTTGGTAAATTGTATCAATACCAGTCCATTTGTCCGTCCTTCATAAGTATTGTTTTTTTATACATTAAGATGTTTTATTTTGTATTTATAACTTTGAATTCTCACCTTTATGCCCATTATATTTATAAAGCTTGCATACCTGTATGCTATAGGGCCACGGTATTTGGTGTATGGTGTACATGTCTGTCTGCATGTTTCATATATGACGTCAATTGTATTTGATATATTGAATGATAGTAAGATGTCTGTGTCTGACTGTCGGTCAGGCTTCATATACTTTCGACCTCATGTTCCAAATTAATTGGCCAAACATAACTTTTACATTTGTCAGTTTCTAAGGTACTGTAAGCATCGGAACACCTATATTTGGTGTACGGGATTTTTGTAGATATCTGTATGTCATGGTTCATCTGACCTTGACCTCTTTTTATGAATCATTGACAATTTTAAGAGTATGTGACACTTCTAGTAAAACCCTTAATATTACAGAAGTTCAACAAATATACTATCATAAGTAAAGCAGACGAGACATTTCAGCATTTGCGCTCTGGTATTCTTTATTCTGTAATATATAGTTGTCTCATTGGAAATCAATCCACATCTGCTACGTTGTATACAAAGATACATATAACAAAATGTTGGTTATCGTTCAATCTCAAATTTTTCATGAAAGATGCTGTATTTGCTATAAGTTTTTGGTTGATGGTTAACTTTTTGGTTTGAACGTTGCATACCCATATTATTGGCTAAATAATGGCGGTCTGCCTGATTTGTACTAGTCCGATTCTCAGAGCTGAATTTTTCACACTGATTTAGACACGTTTTAAGTTAAAAAATTTTAACTTTAGAGGTAAAGTGTTGAATTTAAAAAACAAATGATAGCTTTCATGTTCGTTCTTATCAAAAAAGTTACTGGCTTCAACCAGTTGCAGGTATATCAAATGGTATAAGAAATATTGATTTCTGATTATTAAGTCTGGTCACGCATTATCTTTCACGATCAAAATAATGCGTTGCCTGATCTATCACGATCAAGTTTGATGAAAAATCAACAAAATTCAAGGTTTTCATAAACAAATGAACGATTTTAAGGGAAGAGAAT